AAAATATTTAAAATTTCCAGCTTCAGCCACGACAAGAAATAATTTAGTTGTATATAATTATCATATAATAGAGATGCTGCAGATCTTTTTCTGTCATTAATGATGTTATAATATCAGCACTGTTATGCTGCACATTTAAACTATTGGTTTAAATATTTGCGAAGCACTTAAACTGTTGGTTTAATAGCTGTGCAGCATTTAAACCATTGGTTAAAATAGCTTTACTATTAACAATAGTTATCCTGCTATACAGGCTGTTTTCTTCGAGAACGAGCTCACTTCGTGAGCATGTGTTTTGTAGTTTTCACAATGATAATTGTGCCAATGATACAATGTATCATTGTTTCGACAATTACAATATATCGTCTGTGCAAATATGCAAGTGATACTTGAAGAGCGCGTATTTGCACTTGTACGTAAAAACATAATTAAATTCTAAATATTCACGTGACTTTTAATACGCATGCTTCTTTAAGTTTTAAAATTTTTTATCTATATAATGAATTGACTTCTTCAATGATCAATCTACAATGAAAAGAAAAAGAAAAAAATATCTAGATACAGATAACAAAAAACCCAAAAACTTTGTTCCTTTTTGGAACAAAGAAATATCAAATAAATTATGGTTACTGATAAGCAATTTGGTTCAGACTATACACCGTTCATGGTACTCTGTAAAAATATCTATATTGTTAACACCATTCTCTCTAAACACATCTACTTTATCTGTTTCAAAAACAGTCTCTAAAAAATTTAAAAACTAAAAAGATACGATTATATCTGACTCCAAACAAATGTGAAACTCTAAAAATGTAAATGAGAACTGTCAGGTGGACATACAACAAGATTCTTGATATGGTTCAAGATGATCATATACTCAATGTGAATATAATCAACCATCATTACTTGAACAATGAAGTTTTGATAAACAAACTCGAGTGGGTTAGGAAAATACTAAATAGTATTTGTTAACTAGTAATTAGACAAATAAGAAGGTTCATGGTAATAATTTCAAAATAAAGTATCAATCCAAGAAGGATCGATTGCAAATGATCTCAGTACTAGCTCACAAATAGAACTGAACTAGAGGATCATTCATGTTCTTGAAAACAATAATTGTTGCTCAAAAAGTTTCACTGATAAAACATACCATGAACATAATATTGAACAGGTTGGATCACTTTTACCTGTGCGTACCTATACTACTCAATGTCGATAACCAAAATGTTTGAGATATCATATCACTTGATCTGGGTGTATGCATATTTATGACTGGATACAACCCATCAGATCATATTATCGAGTGGGAAATGATAATTTTAACAAGATATTCAAGCTTTCAAAGAGATATAACAAGTTGCAAAGTGACAGAGACATTGCTTTAGAAAGGTCAAATAAGCGTAAGAGATATCATTTACGCAAAAAGATGTACTAAATCATATTTAGAATCAAAAATATGATCGATGAATATTACCACCAACTCGCGAATTAGTTGTGTAAGAACTACGAGTATATTTTATTACCTGTATTTGAATCCTCAAAGATAGTAATCAAGAACAAGTGAAAGATTTGATCAAAAACTGTGAGAGCTATGCTCACATGGTCTCACTTTCAATTTTATCAGTTTCTAATCTACAAGGTATGAGAATATTCCAATCGAAGATTGGTTCTCTGTATCTAGGAATATACTTTAAAGATATGTGGTAACTGTGGATATATCAAACATAATCTCAGCAAAAACAAGATATTTATGTATAACCAATATCATATTGTCATCGACTGCGATTTTAACAGAGTGCGTAATATTTTATTAAAATACTTGGGTCAGGTTAATGCCTGATTTTGGGGCTTGGACCTGCATATGATCTGATTAGTGTTGACTTTTTGGATTTAATTTTTTAAGATAAAGAATTTTACGAAAACACTCTATACAAAAAGCAAGATCCAAATGACAAAAATAATTTTCTTTCAAAAGAAATAAAAATAAATTTAGATAATCAACTCGCTCTTTCAAGAATTAATAATATATCTCTGGTTATTTTTATTTTTTTTTACTATTTTATCTTTTTTCATTTTTTTGATCTAAATAAAATCCAAGTCTTGAAAATAAAAATAAGTTTCTATGATAAACACAATTTAACTAATTTTATCAAATATGACAAAAAATTCTTAATTGCGAAAGAAAAAAATCTCACACTTTTGTTTATGGTAGAAAAAATTTTTGTCTGTAACATAAGATGCTTATTTACAGAAACAGGATATTTTTGAGATATTGACCAATAAGAGAGCTTGAATTCAATGAAATAAGCACCAAAATTACAGTATTTTACAGTAAAATTTACAGAAAATTTAGAGGAATGATGCACTGTGATTGGTCAGAGACATAGCAAAAACGTAAAAACTGTAAAAGCCAATGAGAACATGTTATTTGGTAAAGTGTACAGTAGATCTTTTCTAAAAAATTTTTGTTGTCGATCATTTTTTTAGTTGTGTTGTTGATCTTTTTGGCTATGAATCAATCAGATTGTGAGTTTGATTTCTCTGATTGGTCAGTTTGGTTTAGAATCGACAAGAGCACGTGTCAAGACGCAGCAGTTTTAGGTTGTTGATCACTAATCAAAACTCGATTTTTGACCAATCAGATTGCGTTATTCTCTGATCAATATTATTCTAGTAAATTGTATATTCTTTAATAAAAAATAATTTAGTTGTATTTAACTATTGTATAATATAACTTTGATAGATCAATTTTTTACTAATTTTCTAAAACACTATAGAACAAAGTCACGTGAATTAATAACACACTTCGCATAATACAATTTATATATATTTTAATTAAGTGATTTTTAATATGATATTTAAAGAGAAACATTTTTTTCTTATCATTAAAAAATAAAAAATGAAATTAAAAAAATTTCCAACAAAATGAGAACTTGACGCTGGTTTAAAATCAAAATTAAAATAGAATGAAGACTTTGAAAAATACTGCTATATCGAGAATCATAAACTCTTAATCATACCATCAATCTATTGTGTAATAACTGACAAATATCAATTTATTTTCTTTGCAGATAACTTAAGGGTATCTTTCCTTCAACATGCAAGATTCTCTTATAAAAGATTCTATAAAAATATATTAAAACTGATACAAAAGGAGAGAACTAAACGAATCAAACAACATTATTTCAAACTAATACACAAAGGAAAAAATTATAAATCTAAAAATAAATCATAAATTACACGTTTTGCAAATGTAGTACAAAATTTGTTTATTTTGTTTAATTTTTATATAATAAAATAGATTTGTTTTTTTTATAAAATAGACATGTAAATTACTCTGATTTGAAAATAAATTAATAAAATAGTCAAAATAGTCAAAATGCAAATAAAAGGATATAATTTTAAAAACTTTAAATGGTTGAAAAACCATCTATATCGAAAGCTGTTAATCAAACACTCGATACAATTATGACTAATAATATCAACCCACTAGAAACTATTTCTGATATTGAATCAATTCCTGATAATATAGATCAGTTTGATGATTATTTGAAAAAAGAAATCGAGTTTGACACAGCTAATTTAAATCTTTACACCAAAGAACTTTGATACGATTTTTCTAAAATTAATAATTCATTAATTAGCAAATCATGAGTCATCTGAACAAATATTTTTTTTTTTATATATAAATTTTACTATAAGCCCAAATGTGGAGCATGCTTATCTAAAACTTTTTTTTTTACTAAGTAAATTACTTTTGGGCTTGTAACAAAAGTTGTAAAGCTCATCAAGAAGCATCTAATAGTAGTAAGAATGTTAAAATCAGCTTGGTAG